CAGATCGGTGACAATGAGAGCCACATCGTCGTCGCTACCCACCAGCGAATGCTTCAGGTTCAACTTGACCATGCGCTTGGGACAGCTGGGAATTTTGTAACTGCACACTTGCAGAACGTAGCGGTAGTCGGTGAAGATCGAGGTAGCCTTCTTCTTGGCCACCTCCTCGGACACCAAAGTCTTCAAGGCCTGGCAGACTTTAGTCACATTATTCTCGCTGACAATCTCCTGGTACCTCTTCTCATCAAAGGACTTCAGTTCAAAGGTGAGTTCGACGGGCTTCTTTGCCTTGACGGGCTCTTTCTTGATGGCCTTGCCTTTGGCCTGACCGGGTTTTGACTTGTTGAATGGCTTCTTGGATTTGGGCGCCTTGGCCGGCTTGGAGAGCTTTTGCACTGGCTTAGTCTTCTTTTGGAGCTGGGCAGCGGGCTGAGCCTTGGCGGGCTTGTCTTGCGGTGCCTCCTTGGCTGGTTTTTGGCTCTTTTTTGGTGCTTCAGCAGCGGCCTTCTGGGATTTCTTGGCGGGAGCAGCAGCTGGAACTGATTTCTTGGCTGCAGGAGGAGCAGGAACCGATTTTTTGGCTGGAACAGCTGCCTGTGCTGCCTTTTTAGCTGGAGCAGCTGCCTCTACTGACTTCTTAGCTGGAGCAGCAGCCTGGGCTGACTTCTTAGCCGGAGCAGCAGCCTGGGCAGCCTTCTTAGCTGGAGCAGCAGCCTGTGCTGACTTCTTAACTGGCGCAGGCTCCTGGACAGGCTTCTTAGCTGGAGCGGATTCCTTCTTGCCTGCTACGGGAGCAGCCTTGGCTTTCTTCTCTTGTTTTTTGGGTGCCACTGGCGACTCGGGAGGCGCCAAGATCAGGGGCTTCTTTGCCGCACTCTTTTTGTCCACTGCAGCCGGCTTTACCTTTGACTTCTTCTCCGCTGGAGGAGGGGCAGCCGGCGATTCCGGAGGAGCCAGAATCAGGGGCCTCTTGGCCGCCTTTGTCTTTGTCTGCTTCTCAGCCTCCTTTTTGGCTGCCTTAGGCTCTTTTTTGGCGGCATCTGGTTTTTTCACCACCGCGTTTTTCGCCTTTTTGCCGCTGGCCAAATCCAAAGTGGCTTCCACGGGCAGTTTTTTTGCCTTCTCCTGCTTGCCCTTTTTCTTGACCACGCCCTCGATGCTGTTGCTCTTGTTCAGCGACTTGGGCTGCGGTTTCTGTACTTTAACCATTTTAACAAGGCGTCTGATGCGTATTATCCCGGGCAAAAATATTTTTTAAATTAAAACAAAACTACACGTGCTATGCTGAAGTGTGGCCGCGGAGTTGTCTGTCAATTATACCGCCACACATTTTTTTTTACTATTCCAAACGGTCACTCTGAAACTAATACGGTGAAGGACTTTGATAGAAATTAACAATTTCACCACTTGGTTTAAGTCCCAACTCAACCGGTAAGCTGTGGCGAAAAATCAATTTAAAAAATCTGTTTTTTAAGTTGTGTTTACCAGTTTCCAAAACGTGGTTTCGAGAAAATCGCTATTGAAATGCATAGCGTTAGGCTAAACGAGCTAAAGACTAAACTTAAAACTCCCATGCCTCCTTTAAATACATTGTAATGTCTCAAACCACACAAAAATTAATTCGTATCCAAGATAAATATGAAAACATTTGAAGAAACCACATTGCAGCTTCCTTTAATTAGGGTTCTATTTACATAGCAAACAGTTTATTTTAAGTAAATTCTAAAAATAGTTATATTCCGCACACTGCACGCGTGCCTAATCGCCACACCAGGCCCCCGAATGTCCTTGACTCGCCCACAGCCGCACGCAAATCGCCCACACATCACATACGCATACGCAGGACACTCGCACATGGAACATTAAAAGTACAAGCGCATGGCAGCTCCCATGGAGCCCCAAATTGAGGACTCCCCAGACTCGCAGGACACACCAAAAGTTATTCTTGCAACCAGGAATCCTTTGTGGACATACATTTGAGTGTGTGCTTGTGCCCATTTTCTGGCACGTGACTGGAGACGAAGAAACTTGGCTGGCTGAGAGCAATTACCAGGGGTCTTAAATTGTACGTTTAAAGCTTCAGCTTTTTGGCATTCGCTTTGGAGGGATCCTTTTTCGGTCGCTTGTTGGATGCTGTGGCCGCTGTGGTGTCCTGCAGTTTGCTGAAGAACGCCTTGGAGGACTTCAGGGCACCCTGGTCGTTGCTGCTCGCGTTGATCTGCAAGAAAAATGTCGTATTTATTATCTATTACGTTTGGTTTAGGTTTAAATTATAAATTGAGCAACCATTGTGTGGAACCTATCATCATCTACTTAAAATACTTTTAAGCCAATGAATATGAAGATGTAGCCTATGAAAACAATGATACACTCAGCAGGAGCATTTGTATTTACCTTCTGAACATTGCGATTCTTGGTGATAGACTTCAGCAACTTGGCATCCGCCTCCTTCTTCGTAGGCGCCTTGCCCTCCTTCGCGCGCTGAAGATCGCGCTGCTCCAAAGCCGAGTTGATGGCGCGTTGCTTCTGCTTCTTCTTGCGGCGCTCGCGGTTCTTGTCCGTCCGGTCGCGCTCCGTCTTGCCCAGAGGAGCGTGCTTGGGTCCGCGGAACACCTCCTCAGGGGCCAGCAGCTTGGCATCGCTCACTGCCACCGGAGCCACCTCTTCCATGTGCACTGCTGGTGTGTTGGTCACAATCTTGATCTCTGGCGCCACCGGCTTGGGCGTAAAGTGGAAGTTGGACAGAGCGTCCAGTTTGAGGAAGAGGGAACGCATTGCCTTCTTGATTTCTTGGTGTTCTTTGGGTTCCGGACCAGATTTGTCATCGGCATCGCGATTGGGGTCGAGTTTTTCCATCTCCCGCTGGTACTGTGCCTCGTAAATCTGCGACAGGGACTGCTTCGACTTCTCTTGGTCCAGAACAAGCTGTTTGCGATACTCCTGCGGCGTGTTCACCGGTCGCACGGTGCGCTCCACATCATCCCAGGCTTTGTCGCGAATGCGCTGCTTAATGATGTCCTCGATGGAACGATTATCCTCTTCCGTAATGGGCGCCGTTGGTCTGGTGGTGGAGTCAAAGTCGAGAATCTCCTCGAGCAGAGAGTTCTGGGGACGATTGGCCGCCTTGACCTCGCCCTTCAACTGCCAAGGCTTCTCGCCCAGGACAACGTCTTCGTAGTCCCGGATGCGTTGGAACAAACGAGCCTCTCGCATCTCATTGGAGGACTGGGTGGGTTGCTCTGCTGGTTCCTCCTCGTCTTCCTCTTTGTCTTTCTCCGAGTCCGAGTCGGAATCGCTGGCTGGTTCAATGCCACTTTTTGCCACAAACTCAGATTCATCTATTTCGCTGGGTGCCTCTTCCCGATCCTCTCCAGCCTCGGCATTGTCATCTCCTTCTCCTTCTTCCTGATCTGACTCGGCTTCCTCGGGATTCTCATCGTCTTCCTGCTCACTCTGACTTTCGGTTTCATTGAAGAAATCCTTCTGTTTCCCATTGCTAGTCTTAGCATGCTGTTCTAGTTCCTCGTCCATATCAAAGAAATCCGCAAAGTTGACATTGCCATCCTCTTCCTCTTCTCCCACTCCGAAATCCTCTGCAAAGTGATCTATATCGTCCGCCTGCTCCACGCGACGCTTACTGTTCAGCCGACGCATCTCCTTGGCGTCCTCCTGCTCCAGGAACTCGTTCATCTCGTCCAGCTTGAAGAAGGTGTCGTCCACGATGGAGCTGCGCCCTCGCTTGTTCTTTTTTTCCTTGATGGGTGATGTGGTCTTTTGCTTTCCCTGCCCTCCATCCTCGTCGCTGAAACCTGATTCCTCATCTTCTTCTTCTTCGGCCGACTCTTCGGCTTCCTGATCCTCATCCTCATCCTCCTGCTCCTCGCCGTCATCCAGCTCGATGCCCAGGTGCTGCTCCCGCATGGCCGTCAATTGGGCGGTCTGCTCCAGCAGCTGTTGGATCACCAGTTCGTTGCGCATCTCCAGCTGCTGCCAGATCTGCTCCTCGTCCATCTGCTCCAACACCAGTTCCGGCAGCAACGCCTCCTTGTTGGCCACATCCCCGCTGATGCTCACGGAGTACGTCTGTTGGATTAGCTGCTCGATGGCCTCCAATTGTTCCGGCTGTGGCCTGAAATGGTAATTGTTTAGGTTTCGTTTGAAAAAACACGTGCGCGCGGCAGTGGAAGAAAAACAAACTTGAGGAAACGCTCTGGGTTCTTGGTCAGCTGCTCGAAATTCTCCGCGATTTCCTTGAATACGATCGCCTTTTTCGTTTTCTTACTACCAATCATTTTAAATGGTGTTTAATGTGCTTAAATTAATTAAAATACTATAAAGTTAAAGCAAGTGCGGTGAAGTAAATTAAGAAAACAACAACGCAGTGCTGCCAGATTGGTGAAATGGTTTCGGTCCCAAACGTTTTCCACCAGCCCTGGGTCCCGCTAAAAATCCGCTATTCCCTCTAAAATCAAAATAGCTTTTAATTTCAAACATTTACAAAATTTACGATCTTAAATTTTTTTTGTAAAACTAATAACAACAATAAACAACGGCCATTTAATAATCTTACTTATATGTTTTTTTTTATTGGCATATGCTTAATAAATCTTTTTCAATTTTTTTTAAACAAACTATATTGCGACGAAACCCCATAAATTGATAATACTGAAACAACAGGACGGTTAGAAATAGTTTTTTCAGACATAGGGTGTTTCTGCAACAGCAGAAGTACACACATGTGCTGGAATACAAAGGGTAAGACTCGCTCTAGCTCGCTTAATAATAATATTATAAGAAATGAGATATTTAAAAAATGTAATGGTCATTTTTAATATTTAAAGATTGGTTTTTAGAGGAAGCACTATAGTTCTTGTCCATCTTCCAGTGTTTCACCGGCTTTTGCAACAGCGGCGGCCAATGTGAACAACTTTTCGCTGTTGCAAGTCAGCTGTCGGGAATGCCAGTACCGTGACACGAACATCGCAAACATATCGAAGCTTCTGCCACCACTAGGTCAGCTGTAGGCGGCTTTTTTCAGGCGGAGTCGAACCCGCAGACATTCCCCAAAGCTATGCCCATGCACCACTAGAAGATGGATTCCAAATTCTTCAAACTGCTCCTCCTGGGCGGCGCCGTGCGCTTTTACTTCTGCCGCACACCGCTGGCCCCGATGATTGGCAATCGGGTGGAGTTCGCGACGCCTTTGAATTCACACAAGCGCAGTGAGTAAACAAAGTACACATCACACACATATATGTACTTCAATGAAGCTTTGTTATCCCTGCAGTGCAAGAGGGGATATTCCTGCTCCAGAGCGGCATCGATCCCTACCTGGGCGACCTGGTCCACGAGTCGCCTCTGATCCTCAGTGCTCTCTCCGGCTTGTTTAAAAACTACCCGCAGTTCTTGGCCATGTTCTACATTATCCTGGATGTCCTCACCGCTGCCCTGCTTTATGCCATGAGCCACCGCTTCGTGCAGCAAAAGCAGGATCAGCAGAAGGTGGAGCGAAAGGAGTACGCGAAGGACACGGCGGAACTGCAGTTCAACGGCTTGGACAAGTTGGACATTCCGGAATTGGTGATCGTGGCGTATCTCTTCAATCCGCTGACCGTGATGAACTGCATCGGCATGACCTCGACGGTGTTAAGCAATCTGTTCCTGGCCTTCTTCTTCTACTGCCTTGTAAAAAGACTGCTTCTTCCGAGCCTTCTGGTTCTGGCCTTTGAGACCGTCCGCAGCTTCTATCCCATCGTGCTAATAGCTCCTCTACTCCTGATTTTCTCACGAAACTCCATTAGAAGGGGCGTGGTCATATCGCTGCTCTTTGCAGTCTGTTGCCTGGGCGTGGTGGTGGCCAACTATTTTGTGCTCAACAGCTGGAACTTCTTGGATGGCACTCTGGGATTCATGTAAGCTTCATTATACATCCTTAGCAGCAGTTTTGTACTTAATTCTACCCCTCAACTTATTTATAGATTTTACTTCCGCGATCTGCAGCCGAATATCGGACTGTTCTGGTACTTTTTCACCGAAATGTTCGAGCACTTCCGTACCATGTTCCTGATCACATTCCAACTAAATGCCACTGTGTTATACCTGGTACCACTAACCATCAAACTGCGCAAGGAGCCTCTTCTGCTGGCCACCGTCCTGGTGGCTCTCATGGCTGTTTTCCGAGCATATCCCAGCCTGGGCGATGTGGGCTTCTACTTGGCTTTGCTTCCTTTGTGGAAAAGATGCTGGAAATGTGAGTTTGCTAGTCTCACAGAAAACTCATCCCTGATTGTTAATTATTTGTTACTCTTTGTAGTCATGTCTCACGGCTTTGTCGTCTTCACGTTCTTCCTGGTCACCCTGTCCATGATGGGCGCCCTTTGGCATTTGTGGATCTATGCAGGCTCGGCAAATGCCAATTTCTATTTTGGCGCCACACTGGCGTTCTCCACCGGCCAGATATTCCTCATTACCGATCTGCTGTTTGCTCACGTTAAACGGGAGTTCTGCCTATTCAATGGCCAGAAGATTTTGATCGATGGCGAGGAGGCGAGGATAGTGCTGAAGTAAGCAGAAACAGTATCAAATCGATAAGAAATAGAATGCAGGAACTTTGTACAGATGCAGAGGCATACTCTTAAGATAAGTGAACTCCAAACAATATCAGATTAAAACAAAACATTTTATTTGATCTTAAAGGATCTACTGGTGTGAATAGCCCGTCTTGGTCTTGCGATTGAGGAACTTGTACAGATAGAGAATGCGCTTCTCCATTTCCCGCCACTTGGTGGGTCGGGCCACGGGATATTTGGACTTCTCGAGCAGCCTGCGCTTGCGCAGCAGCACCTGGTACTCATTGCCGGAGACGCCGCGCAGCCAGGAGGGCAGGGTGTAGAGAACCTTCACGGGATGCAGTCGATCGCTGCCCAGAATGTCGATGTAGTCGTTTTGGCCAAACAGGGCGCGCTTCTTGGCCCAGGCGTTCTTTGGCCGGTATACGGGCATGGGCAGCTTGTGCCCGTTGTCCACATGGGGCAGTAGTCCGCTCTTGAAGATCTTGTCCTCGTAGCCATAGCGCCGCACAGTGGGACCGCGTGCTCTTCGCTCGGCATGGGATAACTGCCGCACCGTGGAGCTTGTAGATGCCACGGGAGCCAAGGGCTTTCCACCCACTGCCAGGAGCGTAGCTTTGCCCAGCTTCTGAATCGCGCTTCCCAGCCAGGACATGGCTTTATTTTAATTTACGATTAGATAATTGTAAACACAGTCTGGAAATGGGCGAAAAACACGGCCGGCACAGCTGTTGAGCTGCTGAAATATCGATATGTGGCAGTGGACTATCGACATTGCGGGTATTCAGCACCAACCAAACAAATTATTTATTAGGGTACTACACCAAATTTTAATTGCAGAGAAACGTTTGTACAAAAATAAAAAAAATCGTTTTTAATTTTCTGATTTTGTTTACTAATTAAGTTTTTAAAAAAAAATGTTTAAGTCTCCAATTTCATGTCATTTTATAAAATGTATAAAATTTCGTTTTCCTAGATTCTAACGTTTAAACAGTTTGTTTAATACACAGTTTGAATTTAGAACAGACAAAATAAAAATGAAAAACATAACTTTTAATTTTTCCAATAGCCTTTAGAAATATTTTTTACAAAAACCAATGGAACTACAAATTTGTAAGTAAACGCTTTTTAACTAGCTCTCTCACTTTTACAAAAAACGGATGTATCATCTCTATCTAAATGTGACATATCGATATAACGATAGGTGTTTCTGCAATATATCGAACAACAACGCGTTTGAAATTAAAATAATGTCGGGATAGTTTATAAAATGAGTTTTATACATATCTTTTATTTTTGTCTAGAAAATCGTTTATAAATTAATTAAATTATAATATAATAATTATATTTAAATTATTTTAAATTATATTTGTCTTTAAAATTATATGTAAGTTATTTTTATATAATAAAATGGGTCTCAGTTTTGACAATTTTGTCGCTATCCAGACTTTATAAGCATGGTAAAAAAGAGAAAAGAGCTACGCGAAGTTGACAATGACGCGTTTTTTCATTTTCTGGAGCATTTAAGAACGTGTATTTATTAATTATATTGAACATAATTTAATTTAATACACAAATTGATATTAGAGCTTCATTATGTTTCGCGTGTAGTCTCGTTTTACCTAATCAACCTTCGTTTATGAGGTAGCCATCTGATTTTCCTCAAGCTCAAGAGATGAGCCAAAAATGGTACAAAACCATTAGGTAACAAACAAACCTATTAAAACTAGTACTGAAAATCCTAGCATGACCTGACTAAAAACATTAAAATTACCTTTTTTTTTCTTCATTTTCCTTATCCAAATAAAGACAAATCAAATAAGCATTTATTTGATTATATTCAATATATTTAGTTTTGCCTTAGTTGGTTATTCATCCATCATCATTTTACATTTATTTATATTTATTTATGTGTGGTTTTCGCTATATCTATTTTCATATTCTTATCGCTTTACGAGTATGAATGTGAAAAAATCAATTATAAAGCATTCCGGCTCGCATGTCCAGATACATCGATAGATACAATTGTATATATTTTTGTGGGTATGCATTTGATAAAACTAACTGAAACATCAAGCCTGAGAGGCAACCAACGAGCCAACAGTAACAGTGAGGCATAACATGCAACATAAATTTTGGTCGCTTGACCTGCGGCAAAGTTGTTTTATCATTTTCACGATTTCTAAACGCGATACTCGGAATGTTACCCCAAAAGAAATAACCTGAAACTGAGAAATAGCGGGTGGAAGGTATTGAAAAAAGTACGAGAACGAAGGCGAGTCATATAAAATCATAAATGTAACAGTGGGCGGGTTTTCAGAGATGATGGTTTTACGTACCCTGTGGTATGATAGCAAAGTCGTAAAAATCCAAAGAAATATTTTAAGAAATGTGTCATTTGTAATGACCTTAAAAGAGTTTTGGAATATGTATTGCATTTTTAAGAATTACATTTTAGAAGTACAAAATCTATCAGATTATAGATCGCTTTTCTGGAAAATATGTTAAGTAATCTTAAAATAGTATTCGTACTAAATTTCAGAAATTTTGATTCAATTCCATTTTTTCTCAACTTTTAAAAATACCGGTACTTTTTTGAGTGTAATGTTTTTTTTGAAAACACGTTCTGTGTTTTAAACCGTACCTGAATATTACTTGGAATATTAAAGGGTATTTCAAAGCCAAAGCGCGAAAGAGGTCAACATTTGTGCGACAACGATTTCGGTACAGAGGGATGGGGAGTGATTTGTAAGTTAGGGCATGGCGATGGGTTGGCGAATGGAGGAGGAGGAGGTCCTTGCCAGGTTGAAATAACATGGGGAATTTTTAGAAAAGCGACGACAAAACGTCGAATGAAAGATAAATAAAGCCGCCCAGGCAGTCAAAAAGAAAAATCCGTGAAAAAAGATGAAATGAAATGAGAATAAAAATGTTAGAAAATGAAGCGAAAGCAAAGGGAGCGCGACGCATTGCTGGCGATAAATCAAGGTGTGAGTAGCAGCGCCAATGGAGGAGCATGGCTGGTATGGTATATGGTGTACATACTGTATCTATTACATGGCGCCCTGCGAAATGTCACATCTGCAGTTTCCGGCTGTCCAATTTACCTCCCAGCACCCCCCATTTCCGTTTCCCCCCGCTATGAATCTGAATACTTTTCGGGTCGCATTGGAATACAAATATTTTTGCAGGTGGCAACGACTGATGCCGGGACTTAGATGCTATGGGAATCGATTTTGATTACATTTCGGGTTTTCGGGTGGCCAAACATATTCACTTGTCCACCTGGGCCGGCTCCATGGTGTACATGTCACGCAGAAGCCTCGCAATCGGGACATTTCCGATGGTCTCCTTGAAGAATAATGCCTCAATGGTGGACGCCCGGATGGTCCGCAGCGACGGAAGGAGGAGCAGCAGCCTGCCGAAGCGGGTCGCCTGGCGGGGATAGCGCAGACGCACGTGGTCGGAGAGGATGCACTGCGCCTGGTCCTGCAGCATCTCCACCGGCTGCACGTCGCACAGGCCCGCCGTCTCCGGGGCGAACAGGGCGATGGCCTTCATGCAACCCACCTCGCTGCCGTCGGGCGTGATCTGCCGGAAGCGGCACAGTATCTCCTGGATCGTCTTCATCTCCGTCTGCGTGGCCTCGTCCTGCAGCACCCGCTCCCGGATCAGGGGGGATTCCAGGATGGGCGTTAGGTCCAAGGGAATAGTCCACTGCGCGAGGTTCAGCAGGAAGAGCTCTTTCCAAGACTCCTAGAAAAATATGGGTTCATTATGTGAGACGTGCGTTCATAGGAATCATTGTGGGGTGCCCCTGAAATCTCCGACGGTATTCGGCGAAATATCAGTCGGTGTCACAGATCTGATTAAGTAATAAATGTATGCAGATTGGGACACTTTTATACCCAATTCCAATTATATTAATGAATACTGAAATTTCGAAATTTAAATAACTCCTGAATGACAAAAACTCATACTTGAGCTTAGCTTTTCACTATTTCTCGAAATTTAAGACCCGAAAAATTAACAAAAAAATCATTGTTTTGCAGTGAAAATATAGTAGAAAATCTAGTTTTCCAACTTTAACACCGCCCCAATCTAAAAACCTCCTCCTTACAGATGCACTTCCATCACTTGATATTTCCCATAGTTTCTAGAAAACTAAGAAACAATAGCGTTTAGCAAATATTTTACTATAAATAAGACCAATTTTTACAGGAATCAACGTTGTTATCTCGAGGTTTAATGCTTATATTGATACAAGTTAAATGTAATATTCTAAATGGTTCTTTTTAGGATCTTCACTATCTCGAAGTCGTTATGGTCAACACAGTTTTAATGGAAATGGGGTGGATAAATTCAACAGAAATAAATTTTGGTTTATAAATTGAAGGTTTTATAACTCGAACTTGCTTAAGATGGTAGATCGTGTTTATACTCTCGGTTAAGCATACATAAGAAACCTAAATCAATTCATATTAGGACTGTAGTTTTGAAAATTGGACTTATGCTATGTGCTTTTTAAGGTGGCATTTGGTAAGAGTTTTAAAAAATCGACTGAGTTGCCGAACAAATATTTTCCTTACCTGGAGCAGAAGGTGCTGGTCATTCTTGGAAAGCGTCTGGAAGGGCATGAGGCACTTGACCCAGCGCACGGCCATGAAGAGCAAGCGCGCCGTCGTCTCCTGCAGCATCTCCCAGGAGAGGAGCCGCGAGTCCAGCAGCTGCTGCGGGAAGAGCAGCGTGTTGTGCTGCACCTGGTACTGGATGAGCTCCTGGCACTTGTCCGGGCTGAGCAGCAGCTCCAGGAAGCCGTTGGAGCTGGAGGCCGTGGGGCAGGAGGCGCCGCCACCACCTGGTCTCGGAGGCGGGGGCGTGGGCGTGGTGGGCGTGGGTGATCCGGATGTGAAGCTGGCCTGCTTGTGCTCCCCATTGTTATTGTTATTATTGATATTGTTGTTGCTCATGCTGCTGGAGCGGATCATGAGGGAGGCGTGACTGGGTGGCGTGGTGGCCTCACTAAGGCTGCGCAGGGATGTCTGGCGAGGCTGTGGAGATCCCGAGGAGGTGGTCAGCGTGGGAGCAGGCGAAATGCTGCCGGCACTCAGAGGCGGCGATGCCGATGGCGATGGTGTCTCCGTTTCCACATTCACCCGCGGACTCTCGCTGCCCAGGCTGAGGCCCTCTTCCCCGGCCACACTCCTCGAGCCAATGCTCGAGATGGACTGTATGGAGTTGCTTGGCGAGGGCGAGGAGTAGTTGTGGTTGTGGTTGCTGCCGGGCGAGGAGGCCTGAGCCGCTGAAGCGTAGGGCGTGGTGGTGGAGGAGACGACGGCCGCCACGGCGGTGGCCGTAATCCCCGGCAGCTTGCTGGCCGCCTCGGCGATGAGATTGTGATGCAGCAGGTGCGACGGGAAGGTCAGCGAGGCACCAGAACCGCTGGCATTTCCACTTGGAGTGCCTACCACTCCGCCATGTGGAGCGGGGAGTGCAGGATGTGCCTGGTGACCCACCGGATGATGGAAGGCCGTGGCATGCTGATGACCTCCAGTTCCGTGGTGCAGGTGACCAGCTGGTGGAGCTGCTGCTCCCTGCTGCTGGCCACTGGCTGCCAGGTGGAAGCCACTGGGTGGTGCCGCTCCAGCGGGCGGATGGGTGGAGATGTGCTGCGTGTAGTTGAAGGAGGCTGAGACATTGGTGACCAGGGAGACGGGCAGGTGGCCACCATGGTGGTGGTGGTGCAGACCCGCCGCTGCCGCTGCTGCAGCCGCCGCATGGTGGGCCGCCGCTGCGTGGGCGTGGGCATGGTGGTGATGGTGGTGGTGGTGGTGGGCGGCTGCCGCATGGTGGGCTGCAGCAGCGGCGGCAGCAGCGTGGTGGTGGTGGTGGTGCAACTGCGGATGAAGCTTCGGTTTCCTTGGTCCACGCTCGTGTTGCACAGCTGGGGGATAAGAAGAAAGAGATTTGACTATGGAGAACAGTTAGAAAATAGTGGCTAGGAATCAAACATTGGATTATAATCAACAAAGTTTATTAATCTTTCGATTCTAGCCGAACTTTGATTTATTATACATATTTGTATTAAATTCCAAAATATATTTAAACCTTATCAAAACATGATAATTTAAGAAAGGTCGCATGTATTCGAATGTTAAGAACATAATATCTATGTATAGTAATAACAATATCCTAACCAATTATAAGCCCCTTTTATAAAGACTTTTAAAACAACTTAGTGTTAAGAATAGGGTGGTTTAACTATGGCTAAAAGTTAGAAAAGAGAAAGGACTAACTAGAATCGGAATATAATAAACAAGTTTTCTAATCTTTCGATTCTAAAAGAACTTTGACATAATATAAATATTTTTTTTTTCATATAACACCACTTCTAGTAATATTAAAAACAGTTGACGTCCCTTCTAAATGAGATTTTTAGAACCTGATCGATTAAATATATTTCCAAAAACAATATATGGAAAAGAAACTATCAATATCAGTGGAGCAGCCAGGATTTTGGTGTGAGAGGGTTTTAATAACCAATTTTTGCGTACTTTTCAACACAATTTTATTCATAGAACAGGCAGAAGATATAACCTCCAAGATCTGATCAATCTACTACACTCTCCTTAATGTTATTAATTTTGTTCATTTATGAACCATGCATTTACGTCATAATCATTAGTTGATAATTATCAATTATAATTCAAGTTTTTCAATAAACGTGAAAAAATTTTAAAAATTAAAATTTTAAAGTCATTTAACAGGGTATAATCTTACTGATACAACAATAAAAGAGCCATATATATATGAACCATGGTTTTTTTGTATTTTTAAATCATTTGTTTGCCATTTGCATTTAAGGGACCAATCTGGTTTGCATAAAATCATTCCAAGTGTGTAATTGCGATAATCTGCCTCTAAGTAGTTAAATAAATAAAGTTAATTTCAAAGATACTCCCGCCTGGCTTTCTTCTCATTTTCCTTTTATTTTCCTTTCAAAACTTTTCGGGAAAGGTTTTGTGGTGCGTTCCCAAAGGTTGGGCTTTTCCCGATTTGGGTCAGAAGTGAGGGACAGGAGGGAAGAAATAATAAACCGATTATTTGAGATGCAAAGATACGAGTTATAAGGATACAGATACAGAGTTGCGGATTCGATAGGATAGGATAGGACAGATGAACTGTCCTCGGCCGTGAGAACTGTTGCATATGCCTCAAGCTAAACCTGAGCGGAAAAATATATATGGGGGTTGAGGAGCTCATGTGTGTGTGGCTGTCATGACTTTTATTTGTTTGTAATTAAATGTATCTATAGCTGCGCTGCGAATCTTGTAGATTGCATGACATGGCGCAAAAGGGGTGACATTTTAATCCCCAGCTAATCGCATATGTGAGTGCGTCTCCCTGTAAAATGACTACAGTCACTTGAGGGCACTTGAGACCCCCAAACTTTAGCTTCCCCCAGCTTCGCGTTTAATAAAACTAGAAAAAAACACTGCCACCTAGAGCGAGAAAAAGTCTCAAAGCTTTTAAAAGATCACAAATTTCAATTAAAGAAAATGCCAAACTCATCAAATTTTTATGCTGCGGGTTTAACAAACTTTGGGTACCAATTTCCAGCGGGACTTAAAAATTGTGGTTCAGCAAAATGCGAAAGAAAAGTTGAAAATACCCCCTGCGGAACTCAAACTTCAAGTTAACCCTTTGGCTGTGACTCCGAAGCACTCCTTTTTTTCTCCCTCGCCGTGTTCAAACATAGAAACGCGTGAAAAAGGCAACAAAATTAGCTGCCAAGGCGGGAAAACTTAAAATATTTGCACTTTTTCACGTTCTTCTTGATTTTAGCATTTTGTTTTTTTCTTGAAGGAAACTTTTCTGGGAAGGCAACCGAAAGCAGAAGTAGAAAAGTAAGTAACGATTTACTTTCTGGAAAGTTATGAAGATGGAAAATGCACAAGTCGTGTCTGTCTTTGAATAGGAACAAATCCGGAAAATAACTGCGGGCGTTTCAAAAAGCCTACTTGATTTAGACTTATTCGGCTAATGAACAGTCGTTGGGGAAGTAAGTATATAGCGTCCCTCATTGTGAGCTTTAAAAACATATAAATGGAATGGTTCCATTAAACATGTTCTATGGTGAAGAAATCTTAAAGAAACTGTACAAATTTAAAAAGTTCTTTGACTGTTTTTTCGACTTTGATAGGATCATTGGATATAAATATATGTTATAATAAGTCTTGATTTATAAATAACAAATACATTTCATTTCAACGTATTATTCTTAATTTTTAATGAGCACACCAACGATTTTGAACTAGAATTTTGTATACGTTTTCTAGGTTTAAAAGCTACTTCAAGTTTTTTGTTTCGAAGGTATCTAAAAGATACTATATAAAAGTATTTAAAATATATTATCTAAAAGTATCTAAAATATACTATCTAAGTTAGTACAGATCGACGTTTTCCCCATTTACAATATTGCATTAATTAAACCCATTATAATACAATTTTTAGTATCTTGCTGAAAAATAAAATCAGAATGACAAACATCTAGATTGAAAGATTTACAAAGCATTTCTCCTTTTCTTTGGTTTGTTCAAAATTTGCTTATTTAAACACAGTGTTTATACAAAGAAAAGAATATCATTTCTTTGTGGTTGAATAATTAAATCAGCTCATTGTAAAGATCCCAATCAAACGCAACTTATTCATGAATATCAATCGCCTCACCGCAGCCAACTACTTGACAATTGCTCAATTCTCCTGCCATTTTTGGCCTGACAATTCCGTGGGTGACTGAGCACCCGAGCAGCCTGAGCCGACATAATGTGGCCATTATGGACTATTAAGCACTCCGCCACTAGTCCGTGCAACCCCCGACCGAATCGGAAAACCGGGGTCTACGCAAACAGCCCCTGCTCTCAGTATCTCGCAGCACATCGAATCACTTCAAGTGTTTTCCTAATTTCACGGTTTATATATCTTTTTATTTTATTTTCGGTTTTTGGGCTGTCGCTCCCCCTCTTGCAATTTGCAAACGTTGCCTTATTTACTTTTAATTTGCCTGCCAAACAATCGCATTTTGATATATTCCTTTTAGGTGAATTTTGATTACGACATTATCTGCGGATGTGGATTTGGAAGACCCCGCATGTAAAGCGTGGGCTCTCTGCTCATTACCGTTTACCGATTTATTTATTTCGATTTCTGGAGCACGCGTTGCGCTTTTCAGCTTATGGGCGGATGGGTATATCCGTATCCTTCGTCCTGGCTCTCGAGCCCGGTGATGATGACCATCATTTGGGATTTTGCGTGCGGTATCGTCGTGAAGTCGCCGTGGTCGTGGTCGTGTCGAGATGTGGGAACCAAACAGCTGCGTGGCAGCTCGCTTTTCCACTGCCACTTATCATTAATTTTTCCGCCGCGTTTTTCCTTGCCCATTCTGGCATCCGGACATTTTCGCCTTTGTCTGTCTTTGCCTTGGCCTGGTCCTTTTCCCCTTCTTTTCCAGGCCCAACACCCCATGACCCTATGACCCCATCCCCATGCATGTATTTTGACATAATTGTTTTTGCTTTCACGGAACTCCTGGTCTGCTTCCCTGTGCTCTCTACCCTAATTAATTGATTAACTTCAGCAAATCGGTCAATATGTTTGCTATGCTTCTCTTTTGTCCATTTGTTTCACTTTTCTGTGGGGGAGTTCGGGGTCCTGAGAGCAGGGATGCGATCCTCGTAATGAGTTGCTAATTAGATTTGTAGATTGTAATTTTTTTCCACTCACTCTTTTCGCCAGCGGGCGTAACTTTGTGTACCACATTTCAGAAAAGCCTGGGAGATTTTCCAGGTGTTTATATGTGCGGTGTAGGAAGAGGTTGGGAGTTTTGGGGGGAGGCAGCAGGGAAACTCCTTGATTTCGGCAAGAGTTTATAAGTCAAGTGTTAATTAGATTTCATATTCATGAGATTTTAATACATTGCTAGCAAGTAAACAAATACGTTTAAGTATTAAATATTCAAGATTCTTGTGGGATTTATTTTTGTGCCATACTTACGCACTAAAAGCCTGCGAAAGCAGAAAAGGTACTTTTCCGATTTGAAACAATGTACTCTACGAGGCATTTAGACTAGGGGGATTTTCAACTAAACTTTAGAAACAAAATTCAGCAGAAATATCAATTCAAGTGCGAATATGTCGCCGCTTAAGTTATTTTACCAGGAGGTAATCGAAAAAAAAGGTCTGGATGTTCATCCTACTTTGTGAAGTTATTCTCTTCCTCGTTGATAGATATATAATAAATGGTATTGCGAATGCTTTATATAACTCTTGAAAAGAGATCCCTGACATCAAAACACACCATATCACACCTCCAAAATTAATTAAAAAGACACTGAAATCAAAGTTAAGACTAATTAATCCTAAGACCATGCAAGGAAAAAAGAATATTATAGTTTCCCATAAGAAAAATGTTGTGTCGGAATTTTCTGACGTTGAAAATTCAGTTGTCATAACAGATCTTCACTCTCAGTCTAGCATTTTGTTAAATATACCCGTTACTCGTAGAGTAAAAGGGTATACTAGATTCGTCGGAAAGTATGTAACAGGCAGAAGGAAGCGTTTCCAACCCCATAAAGTATATATATTCTTGATCAGGATCACTAGCTTAGTCGATCTAGCCATGTCCGTCTGTCCGTCTGTCTGTCCGGATGAACGCTGAGATCTCGGAAACTATAAGAGCTTGGCTATTGAGATTTCGGGTGCAGATTCCTGAGCTTCTTACGCAGCGCAAGTTTGTTTCAGCAATGTGCCACGCCCACTCTTACGCCCACCAACCGCCCAAAACTGTGGCTCCTACAGTTTTGATGCTAGAATAACTGAAATGTATTGTTCTCATCAATACCTATCGATTGACCCAAAAAAAAATTTGCCACGCCCATCCTAACGC